CATCGGCTGTGTTTTCCCTAATATTTGATCGTCCCCGTTGACAGAAATGTGTTTCGATCCGCACCCCACACACGCTTTTTACGTCCATATGTGAATATATACACTGTTTATTAGTTATCGCAATTTTTAACTCGGTCGAACACGTAAAATGCACCAGGGTGCTTTGAAATCGAGCGTCACTCATCCGCGACGAAATACTTAAGAAATATTTCGCCACGTGGATTCAGTTTATTTTTATTACTCTATGATAAATATTGATATATTAGACTTTAACAAGAATATTAAAATTCTGTTGAAGTATTTTATTACATGTTACATGGTATAGTATATATATATCTATTTTATTTTTTATATCATACTGTATTATATTTTTCATTTGCATTGCGTTAAAACTTAGATGAAAATAAAAATGATTGAGTTTTAGCCCAGTCTTTTAGCTTCCTTTATTTATGCTATTTTTTCTGACATTCTCCTGATACCGAAATATGAAAATCGGAAAACAAGAAAAAGTTCTTTAATTTCGTAAATTCGTTCAGAAGAATATAATGAACGAGGAAGTAGTATGAATTTCCGGCGGAAAACTTAGATGCCTTTGCGAATTTTATTTTCGGAAAGTTAGCACAAATAAAAAGAAATTAGGCTAGAATTCAAGTATTTTTCTTTTTATTATAGCATCGTATAAAGTATACTATAATATATAATATACACACAAAGTGTTCGAACATTTTTGACATTGTGTCGCTTGTATACAGGCGACGATGTATATTGCGAGAGTCGAAGAGAGACAAGTTGAGAGAGGGAGGGAAAGAGAGAGATAGGAGAGTACGCGGAGTATGCGAGGAAGTTCGTAGGGCGAGGGCTGGTTTCGGTAAGGTCGAGTACAGTTTTGACGATAACGAGCGGATTTGCAATCACGGCTATATTGTGCAGGATCCTGCTGTTAGCTAACTTCAAGAGGGATGAAACACAGGAGCCCTGAGATCACAGAGCAGAAAGCTGAATATAGGATGCGGACGGAGGATGAGAGAGTGTCGGCTCTTCGTTGCCGTCGCAATCGCGCTCGCGTCTGTCCTCGGAGTGTGCAAACCTGAAATATCAAACTTGCGCAAAATTTACACGTAAACATTCGTTTCTTTTGTCACGTGTTTTCACATCTCTCAGGCTTGACGCGTTCGTTACCAACGTCACGCATACGTGATGCTTCGATCTCTCACCAGAGATTGGTGTTACAGGTATATTATATGTCATTTAATACATTTCACGTGCGCGTAAATGCAAACGTGTATATTGAGTACAAGTGCTACAAATATATAGCGTGGGTTATGGCGAGCGACTTTCTATTTAAGCGCGATGGTAAACGTGTTAATTAGCAAAGAATACCCGATTTCGGATTGTCCACAGTTCGAAAATTGTTCGCGACCAGACGATTTCACCGAAGAAAAAGTCGACTCCGACGAAGATTGATCAAAGGGTGTGAAGATGAAAGGAGAGAGAGAGACGCGATGAGTCCGGGATCTTGTGCATATCGCGGCGTAAAGTCCTTCCTCAAGTCTCCCCGGCTGCTTTTTCCGGGAAGCAATGTTCTGGGAAAAAGCGTGAAAAAGGCCGTGCGCTCGCCGTCGGAGGGTTAAAGACCCAGCTAGAGATCCGCGTACACAGAGAAGAGTGCGGCAATATATCGAGAAACGACAATTCAAGGCGACCAAGGTTGCCGTTACATCTCTTATCGCAGCCGACCGACCGGTGCGACTGTTTCGCGTGGTCCATGTAAACGGGAGGCGAGAAGGACAGCGCGTGGTTAAACACGCGCCTCCGGGCGAGAGGCAGCGAACCGGATTTTTTACAATGTTCCTGTTGTTTGCACAGCAGGTGGTTAGGTGCGAGGTGACACGCTAGGCTGCTTTCTCGAATTTGTATTCTTTTACGGGAGCCCGGGCCCCGGGCGACAATGGGACCTACGGTTCTCCTCGGTTTCACGTGGCGCATCCCTCGACAACGAACTCGAACAGGTCCCTAGGTAGACGATCATTCTAATGATAATAATGTGTCGATATATATATATATATAGTCTTGTGGGAGGAGAAATGTTTTACCGAAAATTTTCAGAAAATCGTCAACGCAAAGCCCAGCGAAAAGCAGCCTCATAATTCCGTGTGAAAATGCAGAGAAACGGAGAGAAGGCGGAGAAAATGATCGAAGGTGACCAAAGTGTGACAGCTTTATGTCAATGCTGTCAATCGCATAGGTACTACACGGACACCTGAATTTTCAGGTAATATTCAGGTAGCAATGAACTGTTTTTCAGTGATTCCGCTGAGTCCCGATACAACTGAATGATCGGACGAGTGTTTCCGGTCGCGACAACAGAGGGTATCGTTTCTCGTCGGCGAATTTTCATTTCAGTTCTGTTCAGTTATACGAACGAAAATGTCGTTCATATACCTGGATACCCGACTGACACGTTTCGTGTTACCACATGCTGGACTTTGCGTTCAGGCCAATTTGTTATTTTATTTCCGAAACGAAATATAATCACTGACTATAATTCTTTCACTATAGTTACAACATTATAGTTACAAATACTATATATTTTCCTCTCAATGTGGGATTTGTTTAATGGACGTTTTGCTTGAAATAATTGTGTTCGTTTAAGCAAAACTTTTTCGTCAATTTTATCATCTTTTTTTCTCAATGTACGATCCAGCGCCTGAGTGTCTGGATGTTTTCTTCCACCTTTGCCGCTAAAGCGACGAGCTTGCACGAGGATACCGCGGCTCCGCGACCGTCGATACCGTCAAGCGGTTCGCGAGCAACGCGGTACCCTCCTAAGACGCGTGATTAATTATGCAATTTTTTGCCGTACCGTTAAGAGATATATACGCGCGGGACCGTACAGCGCTACGGTATATTTCTCGGCGACCGTCGACGGGACTCTCGATCGTATCGATTAATGGGCTCGCACGGACGGCCCTTCGTGAATGCCGCGCGGGAAGAGCGCGCGTTGTCGCTTTCGATTTGTTCGGCACCAGGGTGGAACCCCGCGGTCTGCCACGGGAGGATCCACCGAGCTCCTCGCGACCAAGGACCTTTGTTCACAGTTGGCCCCGCCACCGGAATAATTCGACCGCCATTTTTCTCGCTTTATGCCGGGTAAGCGTTACTAATGGCTCGTTCACGAAGCAGCACGACGAACCGTTCGCCCGCGAGAGCCCGTACGGAGGTAAATTTACGTGGTGTTACGCGCTCACTTACCCAGTTAATAAATAAAGGGCGCCTCTCTTCCTTCCTCTCTCGAGGAAAATGCGCACGTACGTACGTGCGTCGAAAACACGAGTCTCTGAACGGACGGTGCGAGATCGCGTTCGCTTTTCTTCGGGCGTCCGAAATAACATGAAATTACGCGACGACCAACACGAAGCAACGATCGGTGTATAATGGCTCGTGAATCGGCCGCCACCGCCTTCCCGGTGAGGTGTCTTCGGGAAGCGAAGCGACGCATTTCACGGATCGCGCACACGGGTCTCGCCCGGCAATAAAACACGACAGGAGAGTCGAGAACTCGTTTGACAGTTTTCCACGACGCGAGAAATTCATATTCATTTTGGGCGTGGGTGCCATGCGCCCGCCGGGTCGAACAGGATTGTGAATGCACACGTACCTCGTGGCTCTGTCGGTGGGTGTGTGCGGCTGCCTAACACGTATATGTCGAAAGATAGAAATAGTCCAGGCGCGAAGAGAGAGGAGAGAAGGACGGCAGTGATAAAAGCCGCCGGTCCACTCGAGGGGATGATTTACGGCTCGGCGCGGGCATCGATGAAAATGCAAACAGGTGTTCGGACTTCCTCGAATACCTAAATTCATCGGGGGAGAAAAAAAAAGGTAGAGTTTGTTTCTCATTCCGGCTATATACATGTATATATATACGCGTATGAAATTAGCATGACATTATATTTACACGTCGGTCTTGCGCGCGAGTTCCTTCGGGACGTCGAAGCGCTGGGGATCGATTGCAAATTCTACGGTGTAATAAGGTAACGTCATCCGAACGGTGCGGCGAACTACGTTCGTGCAGCGGGTACACGATATACGGGTACAAGAAGCGACGGTAGTTCGATAAGCGCGTTTTTTTCTCGGAGGACGCCGATATCGGATGTGCCCGGACTTGCAAACGAAGTTTGCGCGAAGACTCGGGAGTTTGCGAATCACCGCTGAAATTCCATTCGGCAGTTTGGCCGCCGACAATAAGGCAGTTCCCCACTCCACCGTCTCTATCTCTCCGCACGAGTGTGCATCTATACACACACGTCGCGACGTGTACTACCCGAGGGAGCCGTGGGCGGGCACCATGGGCGGAGCTTCTTCCTTGCTCACCTCAAACCCTAGTCCTGACGATCCTCTCCGTGCTACCTATTATCACCTACCTACCCCCCTCCGACACGTAGCGCATGTGTGTTCATGCACTAGTGCGATGGCTTCGACGCGAGATATCCCCCGCGGTAATCCGTTGCGATCGGGTCTAGACTCGTCGCGGGTGTGGATGTTAATTGACGATCTTGGTGAGTATATCAGTGAGGAAGTTTGGATGCTACTCACCCTGGAGCGCACTCCGCGGTTGCCGCTGACGTTAGACGCCGGTCGCGAGAGTGTACACGAGTACCCATCCCCACGCATCCTGGGCGTGTGAGAGTGTGCGAACGGCCCAACCCTGCCACCATCCGAGGGCCGTGGTAGGGGCAAAGCCGAGGATGCCAGTCTTCTCCGAGCACGGAACCGAGTAGGATGTCGTTCGATTCTTTGCGAGCCGTGCTGGAACGCCGCCGTGTAACTGCGCAAACGAATGACAACTGACAACCGGGAACGTTCGGCTAGATCGGGTCGCAAAAGTCGAGTGAGTTCGCGGGAGAAAAATTGGTGGAGAACGCTCACGGCGGGCTCGGTGGTACATGGAAGGGGGCGGGTGGGGTTTGGAAGAGGGAAGCAGGAAGGACAGTGATCCGAAATCGCCCTGATGATCGAGATGAGGAAGAGAAGAAGCACGTGATCTCGCGTGCATTTCTGGGATTAATCGCGACGGTGCAAACATGAAGGTTAGTTCCTCTCATTCGATCGACGGTTTAAATAGGTCTAAGGGCGAGTTCCATCAGACTTTGATCAAGCTGATCGGCGATTAAAATTGTTGTCAGTCACGCCTCACCTGCTCTGTCTCGCTAACGTAAAGAGAAACGATCAACTTTTTGATTATTGTCGAACGATAATTCAACAAGTTAATGACAAAATAAGAATTGTCAGCAATTCTTATTATTTATTCATCGATTAATCAGATCTTAATCAGAGTTTAATGAAAGTTACCCTAATAGTTTCTTATAGTTGTACGTTAAGTTGCACTCGAAATGAAGTAAATATAATTTGACACGTGATGGAGGATAACAGAAAATACGGGACGGCATAAAAATCGGTTATCATTTCGACTGTTCTTGTGTTACAAAATTATCTAAGAAAAGAATTCTGTGTTTGTGTGAGCAATAATTCAAGATTTAATTGTAGGATCTTAATTTTTCGCTTGGATCAACCCCTAAGTACGAAACTAGCGTTAAATTTTCTTTTCTCATACCTATATATATCGGTCATCATTACATAAAGGTAAATACAGATAAGTGTGCAGCAATAAGAATTGATAGGCGGGACAGTAACATTAGGATTCCAGTATAATTTGCAAAAAGAATTTTAAACGTATCTTGTAAAGGAAGTTAAAAATTTTCAAGTCAATAATCGGCTTTTGGACAACTCGTAAAAAATGACAAAAGGCAAGATGAGATTATCCAACAGTTACATTGACCGCAGTTTCTTTTGTATATTCTTTTATGCGTTGTGAGAGAAACAGTCGAAGAAGAATCGCGAAATTGTTTCTTTTAGAACGCAGGTACTTTCCCCATGAGACACACGGTTCCGAAACATGGCAACGCATAGCTTGGAGCTAATGTGACCGTTGCAGCAACAAGATCCGATCTTTCCTAAAAGATACACCGAGAAAAGAAACGATTAACCTCAGAAAAAATTTTGTCGTTTTTGGCATTGACTCCTTTGTCGTCCTGACAAAAAAAGTAATAGTAAGAATATGAGATGGATATATAACTCAGAATGACTTTCGCCAAAGATCAGATTGAATTAATCGATAAATAATAACTGCCAACACCAGTTCTGTAGCATGTTCAACAATGATCAAAGAGTTCATAATTTCTATGTGTGTTAATATGATAGAGCATGCAATATTTGTGACAACAATTTGAAATCGGCGATTAGATTAATCAGAATTTAGTGAAAGCCACCTTTAGCGTTGAAGAAAAGAGGAACAAAGTTCCGATGCAACGCTAGTTAAAGTTACAATTAAAATTAACAGACCTGAGAAAAGACCTAATATTTAGACGACGTGTTTACATAGAATTTAGTCCGAATGTTCAACATGTATAGTAAGTCTTTAGCCTTTAGCTGTAAGCACTAAACTGAAACGTAATTTCAAGCAAAAAGCATTCCCAACGCTACCGGATGTCGCAAGATTTAAGCGTTGTTGCAACTTTTGGCAGCGAGGGAAATACCTTTTGTCAGAAATTACCTTGTATTACCGTTTAACGGAAAAGGCTGAAGATTTACTATATTTATTGCAGATTCGGACTTACACGCGTTCCGGGCGATTCGGATTTCCCTTACCGTCATCGCATCAAATTTGTTAAGAGACCCCGTTTCCGCGTCCAACTCTTGCTGAAGCGATGAGGACTCGCAGGAAGGAGGTCCGGTAGCTTACATCCGGTAGTCTCGCGCAGCAGCGGGTCGGTCTCCGCTTCACCTCCGCATTTCTCACTTTGTCAGCTCATCTACATCGGCTCGGGCCCGGCTCGTTGACGAATAAAAAATGGCGCCTATTATTCTTTCTTACCGCTCGCTGATTGCAGAAAGCGGGACTACTCCAAAACGAGCAACGGGCGCGAAAATGGAACTCGTCAGTTCGAATTTGTGTGGGAGAATTTTGTCAGATCTTAATCTTTCTTCGCGCCAAGAGACAAGGGGGACGTGTGCATACACGTGGTGAATCGTTACGCCTATTGATGAGTCGTATCGGTAACGAGCACTTGGGGGAATCCGTTCATTCCCAAATTTATTATACCGAGATGAAAGTGTTTGGTATTTGTGCCGACCCATTGTATCATTTCGATCGAGACAAACGAGCCAGTCCGGGTCGCCCTTTGTTGCACCGGAATCATCTATGGTCGGCCGTTTTTCGGAAATATCCTGACTACCATGTGAGATTCTTCGGACTGTTGTAAGTTACCCTTGGACCGTTTGCAGCGTAGAAAGCGGTCGGTGTCGAGGTAGCGCGACCGTAAAACTGTTCAGCGAACGCAATTGGTCTCTTCTTTCCAGCTGAACTGACTGGCACTATCTCAAGAAATTCGCGCATACTGAAGCGTTAGAATCTTGTACGTACTTGTGCGCTTCGGTGTGTACGTACACTTTTTGCAGCCAGCTAAAGAGAACAGACGAAATGGAAACGCCACTCGACAGGTTCGGCGAGAGGAGACTCTGCATTGTGCGCGCACGAAATTCCTGCGTAACGTTACGTCGTTATTCGCTCATTAGCACCTCGGGGATGAAAAAAAACCCATAAAAACAGACGAATAAGAGAAGTTCGCGCCGTATAACACGCGGCTATTATCGAGTCGCTATTCGCCTACTTCCTTGTTAACTTGCGCCGCATATGCACGCGCGAGCGTTGTTAATTGCGTTAATCAGTGCTCACACGCGAGCGAGCGCCTGGGAATTCGCGTAGATCCATCTTGATCAAACGTTAAAACGCACGAACGTTCGAACGCCGGACACCGCGGCGACTCCGCGCGCGCGAGCTCCTTCGCCTTCCGTTATTCCGTGTAACTCCTTTCATCGATTTTTTCCGTCGCTCCACCTGCGACCGTACGTACGCGGCGTACGTCCTTTCGAGAGCTCCCGTAGCTCTCGAGAGCTTTTCGCCCGACACTTAAAACTCATCACGTCGCGCGACGGTATTAATAAATCGAGGTATCGCGCGGCACGGCGGTATGCGAAGGTACGAGCGAACGAACGAACCGACGGTGGTTTCCACACACGCGAGAGAAGACAGAGGAAAGCCAGAAGGCATAAATCACACAAGTGGGAAGTTCAGCTTCGCCTTCGGCGAGTCATAAATCAATAGCTGTCCAGTCGTACGTGAAATGATTACACCGCACCGGCCGCGCGCGCGGAGGACGAAGCCGTAACGGAGGACGAAGACGGAAGAAGCGGAAGGATTCTCGAAATTGGCCGTCGTCGCGTCCTCATCGCCTTCGTCTTTGCCTACTTCGTCGGCTTTCCAGATGTCGGGTGGCTGATGAGACGTTTACACGTTTTTCCACACGCGTATGTCGCGTGCTGGCAAAAGGAACGCGCAGGTCTCTTCCTATCCTTGTTCTTCGACAAAGTGTTGAAGAATATTGTCGAAATTCTCGATGAGAAAGAAACAGATTGTCCCATAATACCGTGATTTGTTCTCTAAATTTCTCGGAAACTGAAATTTCACTCGAAAAGTTCAAAGTCGTGTGACTTTTCACTCATATAGAGCGAATATTTTCACTCGAAATTAAAGAATATATCTGATACAGTCAATCGTCAGTGGAATAGATTTGCTCTAATTGACCGAAACATTTATTCATATGGATTAAAAATCCCCCCTCCTCGAATCCGAGTTAAACATTCGCTCTTGCGATTCCGAGTGGCAGTATTTGTGATTCGAGCGAATTTTCGCTCATTTGACTCGTCATTTTCGCCTCGAGAAAATCTTCCCTCATTTTGAATAAGATTTCACTTCGGGATATTGGGAGAGATTGTGTTTTCGAGATGAATGGAAAATGGAAGAGAAGAAAGCATCGGCTCGCGCACCACAATCCGGTCAATGAGTCGAGGAGCCGGGTTCGAGGGAGACGCGCAGTGTGCCGGTCGCGAAGGTAATTAACTCATCGATTACCCCCCGGGGCGAACAATAACCTCCGTGCATTACTCGCGTGTCAATTAATATTATCGAGCCGGTGCGCGTAGGTACACGACGATCCGCGCGTGTTGTATTCGCGAGCGTGCGCCGCCGGTGCGACACTGGCACGACGAGGAAATGCATGTGTGCGATCTGATAAAGCGCATATCTGCACGTTTATCTAGTATGTTAGCGACGTACAATGCCGTGGCCGTCGGCTCGGCATCGATAGGCGGAAAAATGGTCTATCACCGACGAGTCACAACGACACCGCCATCCGTCCGTCCGATCGATCGTCCGTTAGGCCAGCGTTATTAATCGCGCCGGGATGATGCGACGCTGTGTATGCGTGTTTTAATAGACTACGCACATCCGCGAATCCGCTGGATGATGTGCGCGCGACTAGACGCGCCGATCGTCCCGACGAGATCGAGTACTGATAATAAATACGTCTCGGTAAATTCCACACACATCACGCATATGTGAATCAAAAAGAACTGTTTGATATTTATGACTTATAATATTGTACAGTGCAATACGAGTTAATGATTATCTGCAATATGTTTCTAAAAATTTATCACAAAGTGGTAGAGAATTTATAAACACTTCATTTTCCAATACAGTCCCCTTTGTAATGCACTTGGTCCAGTGTTCTGAAAATCTGTTTGCAAACAATTGTTGCGAGGAGATTGTACATATAAAATTAAAAGGTAATGACGTCATTAATCCCGTCTATAAAAACGTCTCGAAGTTTGTGAAGCGTCTGGTGGATTGCACCGTGGTTGATGGAGATTAAGGATCGCGGATTAGAGATTCGAATTCGACGGGTCAATTGATTCCGATCTTGGCTCGCTTTGACCCGATTGGTTAGCTACTAATCCTCAATACTAATAATTTTATATGTACAACCTACCTCAATCTCGCAGAGCAAAAAAAATTGGATGATGTTCGTGACACACGCTATAATTATATGATGAAATGATTGCAGTCATGCGGTGAAAAAAATGGTTTAACATCTGTAATTATAATTACGTAATGAGCAAAATCCTAACTATAATCTGAAAAATTATTTTTGCAGTAAGATTTTACAGAAGCTATTATAGTGACAGCGATAATAAGCTCACATGCACTTATTGTTATTATTATTTTTGTTACGGAATAAAAGAATATAATTGGCATCGAAAATGATTACAATTTTAATGAGATTAATCGCCTTTTTTTCCCAATGTAGACGAATTAAAGTCCGTACCTCAGACTAGAGGTAGATCCATTAGACATCTCGTACCAGCCACGTAATGACGTCATTAATCCCGTCTATAAAAACGTCTCGAAGCGTCTGCTGGATTGCACCTTGGTTGATGGAGATTGAGGATCGCGGATTAGAGATTAGAATTCGACGGGTCAATTGATTCCGATCTTGACTCGCTTTGACCCGATTGGTTAGCTACTAATCTTCAATCCGCGATTCTCGATCTCCCGTATCTAGTCTGATACGGGCTTAACGCGCTTAGACTCGTCGCGTAGACGACGTTACGTAGGATGCCGTGGCAGCGCGCACAGGCAATTATACAAGCGGTATGCGTCGTCGAGGCACGAGGGATCGTTTATCACCCGGACCGCGGACGCCGGCAGCCTCCGAGGCGGCGTCTATTATTTCACTTTGCCGAGCATTGATCGAAAAAGATTCGGAGCCCTCCCCGAACGGTCCTTCCACCATCGGTGGCTGATATTTCGACTCACCCTCACTTTTGCTTTTTATCGTATGACTTTTCCGGAAGCAGGCCTCCCCCTTTGCGAATTTATCCGCGGATTCAACAGCATGCCGCTCTCCAAGTTTCCTACAGTGAAATCTCACTGAAAACAAGCGAAAATTCATTCGAAGCGAAGTAATAAAAATACTGCCATTCTGAGACGCATTAGTGAGAATGTTCAACTAAAATCCTCGGAGCAGATTTTTAATCTGTACAAACGAACGTTACAGTCGACAAGAGCGAATCTGTTCTTGTAACAGTACACGGGATATTGGAGTGATTATTTCACTTGGATTAAGTAAATATTACTTGAATGTAGAGCGTTTTTTTTTTCTTTCCGCGTGCTACATTCAAATAATATTTACTTGATCCAAGTAAAATGATTACTCCAATACTCTTTAGCAAATATTTACTCGAATCTCTTTTTTTAGTGCATAATTAAGTTATTACGCTAAATTCGAGCGACCTAACTGTCACCCTACTTCTAGGCTGAGATTTCGCCCGAAGAAATTTGGAAAACAGAGTCTTCATCTGTTCACACACGCGAATATTATATGATATTCTCTGTTGTTGCTGCTTTGCAGACCGAGATGGAGACGGAGCCCGAGTGTGCAGATGGTAGCCTGTGCTCGAGCAACAACAACAATAATAACAACAACAGTACCGGCAACAACAATAACAATGGCGTCGCCGCGGTCGTGAAGAAGGGTGGCAACGACAACTACGACGGGATGGAAATGGACTGCGGCGGCTGCGGGGAAAGCGTACGCGAGCGCACTGTCCTGTGCGTAGGGGGCCGTACTTGGCACTCCAGGTGCCTAAAGTGTTGCGCCTGTGCGAGGCCCCTGCAAGATCAGCACTCGTGTTTCCTACGCGGGATGCGGTTGTACTGCAGACACGATTATGCCTTGTAAGTGCGCGTATGGAATACACGAGTACGCACCGGTGATGTCAATTATGGGTATCTCAGGTGTCTTGAGTGATACATGGGTACCTCCAGTCTTTCTGATATTACCCGGGTATTTGAATACTCGAGTATCCAATTATATATATATAATTGGAATAATGAATAAGAGAGGACATAATAATAAAAATTAATATATATATGTATATATATGTATATATATATACATATATATATATACATATATATACATATAATAAAAATTAATATATATATGTGTATATATATATATTAATTTTTATTATATATTCGGGTACTCAAATACCCGGGTAATTTGCGGAATATTCAGGTGCCCGGGTAATATCAGAAAGACTGGAGGTATCACTCAAGACACCTGAGATACCCATCATTTATATATATATATATACACACATATATATATTAATTTTTATTATTATTTCCTCTCTTATTCATTCTTCACGTCATTCCACGCATAAAAGTATCCAGCTGAAGTCCACAAAAACATAGATACCTTACGAAATATTAAGTTTTCACGTCGAAATACGTGAAAATAATACGTGTGAAATATTCGACAAAGCGCTTATTTGTCGTCGATCTTACCTTACTTATTTTTACACGCAGATTGATCAAGAGAATATAATTATGTGAAGAAAAATATCGGAGGTTTAATTAAAAAAAGCTTTTTCTTGGTTCCGGGTACCCGGGTATTACTTAGTTCATATCGCATCACGGGCCGGGTAATAACGCGCGCGATTTTGTCGGGAAGAAGCGCGGACAGAATCTACCGGCCGCGTTCGTGTCAAGTTTCGGGATTCATCGAGGATCGGTTCGGGATCGGTCCATCCAGTCGATCTAGGATCGATTCAAGGTCTGAGGGATGACTGCTCGCGAGGAATTCCGGGCAGCGCTCGGTCGCAGCTGCGTCGACGGAGTGGTACACGATCAACGGGGGGCTACCTGTCCTCCGCGCGGGCGATCCGAATGACAGGACGATCCGCATTCCGCGTGTGTCGCTATCGCGGGATTATGCCGGCCGTTATCGACGAGCCCAATATAATATCTCGCTTCGTCGAGGGCAACTTACGAGTCGCCCCCCGCTGACGCGATTCGAGATCAGGGTTGGACTAAAGTCCGGCTTAAGAGGACGTATCTCGGCTACCGCGGCAGCGTAGGTCACCTCTTACAGAGAGCGAGAGACAGACAGAAGAAATCGTCTTCGACTTACGAGCGAAGAAGCGCGCGACCGGACGTCGTCGGGGTCCTGCGTTTGGAGTCCTCCGCTGACCGAGCGAGGGCGCACACAGTGACTGGTCGGAATGATTTGACTCGCCGCCGTTAGCCCGACGCGCGGCGATCTTTTGTTCTTCGCGCGAACCGGCGCGGATTGAATCGCCGATCGCGAACTGCGATCTCCTTCTCCTTCCTCCTCCTCTACCTTCCCCGCAATCCCACGTGACTCCGTCGTCGCGTGGGTATTACGAATAGGTATTTCTACAGATAGACATCCGTAAGAGAGCGCGTATGGGATGTCCGAGGTGAGGCGCGCGAAAGAGTCGCCATTGGGTGATTAATGTCTTCCAATGTAGTCTGCCTCCTCTTCGTCTTCCTCCTCTTCTTCTTCTTCTCCCCCTCCTCTTCCTCCTCCGCGGACCTCACGTATAGTCGGCTATTCACGTCACCGCACATTCGTGTATCACGCATGCTCACGCACGAGCTGCGGAGTCACGTTGACGTCTCGACGTCTCACTGTCTCGCGCGGCGAACGCGGAAAAAAATAAATATCGCCTGATACTTTTTCGCGAGGTCCTCTCTCTCGAGGCTTTTGTCGATTCTTGTCCGCGCCACTCCTTACACCTCGTAGACACGTGTAACCGATCTGATCGTTGGAAGCGTCGAGAGCTTTCATCGCGCGCGGAATTTCTTCGAGTTTCCTTCGGCCCTCTCTCTCTCTCTTTCTCTCCGATCGCGAATCAGAGGAGACGAAGGAAGGATTCGTCGAAGGGTTCGTCGACGGAACGAGCGCGATAACACCGGCGATATACCTCCGTACACCGTCACTCGGGCCGAAGAGGAGGACTATCATTAATTTATCAATGTCCCGAAAGCGGGTTACTTCGCGCTTCGTGATCCCGTATACCAAATATACGCGTACGTGTATGTGGGTGCCGAGTCACGAGATGGGACTGCCTAGTGTCAGTGTTCCGGAGGACTGAGGAATTCGCCTCGTAAGGCACCGAAGCCAGCTGCGATCCTCGAACCGTTCCTTCTTCCCTCCTTCAGCCGAGTGCGAGCCGCGCGGTGTTTCTTTTCAGGCCGAGGCGAGGAGGGAGCGAGAGAGGGAGCGGTCTTTGAAATTAATAAATATTCACCCGACCCCGACCGGGGCCACTTTTACGCTCCTTCGACGCCGGGCCCCTTCCCCACCCTCTCCCTTCATCCAATCCTTTCCCCGCTTTCGTCGCTTTCGTACGATTCGACCGAAAAAAGAAAGAGAAAAAGGGGAGGAAAAAGAAAGAACGGAAGAAGAAGAGATCGGGCGTCGAAGTGATTCGTGGTCGCGCGGCAAAAATCGCTCTATTAGCGGTTTCCTCCTCCCCTCCTGCGCGACACCGGGATTCCGGTTCTTCCGATTCAGTGTGGTCAATGTTAGCGGGACCCGGTCGCTAGAGACGCGGGGACCACCTGCCGCCGATAATCGCCGCGGCGTTATCGTCTCCGGCCCGCCGGCACTTAAGACCCGCATACCTCGTGATTCCCGGAGACAGTCGGTCGGCGAAACGAGTGATATGATCGCGGCCCTCGCTTAGGACCAACTGTTCACGGAGCGCGCTGTCAGCGCTTAAGAGTCGTCTATTTTGATCGCTCGTTAGATCTAAGACAAGATGCGCTATCCGAAGGCAGAAAATTAGAACGGAAAATCACGATGACGTCGAAGTGACGGGAGAGCGAGCGTGTAAACAACACTCGCTCTTCGATCACGCTTCGATCGTCCTACTTTCGACGTCATTCCGACCGTCATTTTGTTCCACCTGAGAGACACCGCGCGATCCGCCTTTTATTTATCGCCCGCGATTGTCACTCTCGCAACGGCGGCCGATAAGGAGAGCGCAGGAATCGCGGCGTGTAAGAATTACGACGCCGCCGCGTATAAAGCTTCTTCCCGATAAACTCGCGCGCTACCGAGACGCAATTAACCGCACTCGCTGATATGTACGGCGCGCTCGCCTCCGCGCCGTCGTGATCCTCTCGCGACGGATCGTGCTCTCCCCGTCGTACATATCGTGCACGGGGTGCGAGCGCGAACGAGCGCCTAACTTAATCCTCCGTTGACTTATAGGGCCCGCCTATGTGGAAGAACAAATGAATAAATTAGGGCGGGGCCGTTTGGTAGCCGACGTACGGCCCTGAAGATTTATAGATACCCAATACCAGTTCTCGCCGCCGGGATACACGGGATTCCCCTGTTGATCGTCGTCTTCTACCTTCCCTTCCCGTGCGTGTGTTATGTCCTCGTACCCAGCCACGGATGTGGAAGGACAGAGGGGGAGAGAGAGAGAGAAGGGATGGCGCCGTTATTTACTCCAAATGACACTCTCGCCGGTCGGCGACGCCTAAGCTCCCGCTCGCATCCCGAGCCCTTCGGGGATGTTCTCCCGAGAACTTCGAGAACGCGACTCCCGGGATCGCGTACTTCGCGCGACTCCGACGAGCACGAGAGGTCCTTTGCTCTCCGAGAGAGAGAGAGAGAGAGAAAGAAGATACCTTCCGTCGAAAAAATATACAAGGACCGAGATCGTAAGGACGGATCGTCGCTCGAGATCGACGGTGCACGAGATTCCTAGCTCCTAGGCGTGCCCTTTGCGCGATCACCATAACCAATAATATCCCGAAAACATCGCGTCATGCGACGATGACTATGCAGACGCGAAGACTAATCCCTCCGTGAGCTTACCATATTTTTCCATACAATAACGTCGTGGTCGATCGGTCGTTGATGCATTCTTCGTCCACTCTTTCTTCTTCTTCGTCGTCGTCGTTTCTATCTTTTTCCTCTTGCGTCTTTCCCACCTTCCTCTGATCTATCCTCTCTCTCTCTCTCTCCCTCTTCTCCCCTTCCTCCTTTCCTTACATCTTCCTATACTTCTTATTTATCTTTTCCTCTTTTCTCTTCTTCGTCTTCCCTCCTTTTCCTTCCTTCGCTCTCTCTTCCTCTCTCTTCTCTTTCTTGTCTTCTCTTTCTCTTCCACTCGGCGGACTCTCGCGCGAGTTGCGCTGAATCCTCCGCTGAATTTCACCTTCTATCCCTCCGCGTTGATTCCTACCGTTGTCCCGGATGGAGATTACTCTCACGCGCGACTCTCTCCTCGATCTATCTTTCTCTCCATCCCCCGGCCTCCCTGGCGGATATCTACTTCTACTTGTGTTCCTCGTCGGCACAAATTCAAAGAGATCCGAGTCATTTGTACGGGGTCGGAAGCCGCGCGACTGAGACGTCGAGATAATCTCGACGTAATCTACCTCACGAATCGTGATACCGATCCCTAAACCGAGGCTTCGTCGCAGGGACATCGAGCGGCCGAGTAGTATGTTAATGAGGACTGGAAAGGGTCCTCGCGGTCGGGGATCTTGAATGAATCTCCTCCGTCTCGTCGGCGGGATAAAAATAGTTGTTTCGTTCCGCGACCGCGGCTAACCCGCGATACACCGCGAGATCGCGTCTATTAGCGTCCGTGCGTGTCCGCGGGTTCCGTCCGAAAGGAAAAGAAACCTCTGTGTCATCTCTCTTTCTCTCTCTCTCTCTCTCTAAGTTTCTCGCGGTGAAATCTCAGTCAAGACGCACGAGGAAAAAAATTAAAAAGCGAAAATGCCGCCGCTTGGAGTCACAAGAGTGAACGATTAACTTAAACCGTAGAGAATGGGATTGTTAATCTTTCGATCTTTCTTTTTTATTTGAATCTTTCAAGTGAATGTTTTAATCAATTAAAGAGTGACCCTAACCCTAGTGAGTCGTTCGCTCGGCCCTTGCTGCTTGCAGAACGTTCGGCGCGAAATGCGCGAAATGCGGACGCAGCGTGGGCGCCGGCGACTGGGTGAGAAGAGCCAGGGAGCGGATCTACCACTTGGCCTGTTTCGCCTGCGACGCCTGTTCCCGTCAATTGTCCACGGGGGAGCAGTTCGCGCTTCTGGACGCACGATTGCTCTGCAAGGCCCACTATCTGGACGTGGTCGAGGGTAACAACACGTCTTCGTCGGAGGACTGCGACTCCGAGCACGGCGGCAAGGGCAGCAAGACGAAGCGCGTGAGGACAACCTTCACCGAGGAGCAGCTCTCGGTGTTGCAGGCCAACTTCCAGCTGGACAGCAATCCCGACGGTCAGGATCTCGAGAGAATCGCTCAAGTGACCGGCCTGAGCAAGCGAGTCACGCAAGTCTGGTTTCAGAATTCCCGCGCGAGGCAGAAGAAGCACAGCGGCAAGATTAAGACGCAGAGTAAGTTGCCCGCGCAGGGAAGACCAGGTTCGACGGGCGTTTCGTTTGTTTATTTACTGCGAGAGAAACGATGAAAAGGAGTCGCAAAATGTTCCTTTTTCAACGCAAATACTTTTTTATTCGACTACCGGCCGAGGCAATATTTTTCGCGATGTTACCTGGAAATTCCGAACCATCGAGGTTCGAGACATATGCAGAGGAATATTTCCTATGTTTCTTAACAAAGTTCGCTCTGTTTTTTTAACAAGATAAATTCCACTGACAGACTATTCTTACACATTAGAAAACATAGTAAAATTTTACAAAATTTCCACAAGAGAAAACTACATTTTATTTTCCGTATGTACAAGTGAAAAATCATTCGAATTTGAAGGCTATCGCTCTGCTCTTTTCGAGTGAAATTTAACTTCGAGTAACTCGGAGAATGAAAGAAACATTTTTTACGATTATTGTTCCACTGACCTAAGTATCCGGGATGCATCCCGCGATGTCGATCACTTGATTACGAACGTTTTCAGTAAAATTCGTCTTTTCGTGTGCTCGCAGTGCACCACTCGCCGCCGATGCAGCATCACCCGGTCGATCTGTATCCTGGCGGAGTGAACGTGGTCGGCGCTTATCTGGGCGGTTATCAAGCCAGCAGCGCCGGTAGCGAAAGTCCAGGTAGTCCATTAACGCCTCTCACGCCGCTCACGCCTCTCACACCGACTACGCCGAACCACTTGCAGGCGCAATTCTGCCATCCGGGGTAAATCGACGTAAGGGCTCGTTTTTTACCACGAAATCGTCGACACTGACGGTCGAGTATTCACGTGCGCCGTCCGTGCGTGAATCTTCCCTGAACGATTCGTATTCCGGATCGTCTTCTAATTTGTACATATCGAGATAGAGAGAAAAAAAGAGAGAGAGAGAGGAGGGTGGTGAGAATGTGTAAAATAAACGCGTCTAATAATAGAAAATAACATAATGCACGCGGAAGGTACGGAAATCGCGTACCGAAAGCGTCTACGCTTATTTATTCCAAACTCGATGCAACGGTTTTTATGTGTATTCGCGGTCAAGAACTAGATTTCCTCGACAATGCGGGGAGATGGGAAACAATGCAAGGAAGTGAAGTTCACTCGAGTTACGAGCACTCGGGCAATAGCATTATCACATCCTCTGTTCGCAAATTCTCAACATAGGTAGGTCTTTATAAGTATAAATAAGTTGTGTATATATATATAGGTGAGTTTTAGCTTTTGTACATATATAAGCTCATTGTATCATCAGACGTATATCGAAAGAGATTCGCGTGAGAATTTGATATCGTTCCCACCATTGTCGCTGCAATATTGTAAACCATGCTGTTATCAATAAAACGCATCTTGCTGTTACTCGTCGGAGTGATTTTCCTTCCACCTTCTCTTATTTTCCTCCTATCCGCCTCTTTCATATTATTCCCTACCAATGTATGTCAGAGATACACACATGTTGTAATATCGGGAAGAACGTCGTGCGAAAAAAAGAAAAGATTAAAAGGGGAGATCGGGAGGCAACAGCAGGAATCGTCTCTTTTTTTTGTTCAACGTGTGCAATTGTTATATATATTTATATATATATATATGTATATGTTTAGTTTACAATATTTACATCACAGTACATTCATATTAAATGACGGTTCTTTCACGTTTACACGACTATCGAGACGCTACGGAAGATACTTTCATTTGAAGCATTGCTAGAGGACACGCGAAATTCCACCGACTCCGCGAATTACGTCTCCGATGACGTTAGAGAGATACGTCTCTCCGTTAAGTTTGCCGAAGGGAGAGGGAGGATGGAAGGATAATGAGAGTGGTGGAGTACAAAATTATCAAACACAACCGAGGAGGAGGAGGTAGACAAAGAGATCGATTCAATATACAGGACGAAGTTACACACGCGCTACCAGACACTCACATATACACACGCGCGCGCGCACGCACGCACGCACACACACATATACACACTCACTCACGTCGCTCTCCTTCATTTAAATCCTCCGACTTTTGTCTTCGTCATGAATATACATATTGTTCGCGTCAGAAACACGCGGAACAATACGTGTATTCGCTGCTCGCTTTTAACAAGCTTCCGCACCGAGAAAGGTGCAGGTTTTACCGCTGCCGGGGACATGAAAGCGCGTCATCGAAGAGTAATAACGCGAGCTTCTTCCCGCCTTGAGGATAAATTAAAAACGATACCTGTGCTTCGAGGCATGTATCTACCTTGACACTTTTTTTTTCCGTTAAAGCAATGCGTGTATTTACAATATGCTGAACCGAGCCGCGGTCATTAAACCTCGTTCGGCATGGACAATAGCATCGAGTCCTGCGAGAGCTCGTCCATCGACTGTTCCGAACCTGAGAACAGAGTTAACGAAATCGCGATTACGTAACCGATCCCGCTGGGATCCCCGATTAACGATCATTTCCTGGTACGGGCTGCTTAATCTTGGCGATAGTCTCTTACGCGATACTTGGTCCGACACTATGGGACGCGTTCCGTACGATCTCTTACCGTGATTATGATAAATGGAGCCCGTGGGACTCTTGCACGTGGCTGGGCTAAGTTGCGGCTGCTGTTGCTGCTGGTGCTGTTGCTGGAAGGAGTACGTCAGGTGCAAATTGATATGACGGCCGAAATCGTTGGGCGACGCGGTGGAATTCGGTGGTGATTGGTGCACTGTAAGAAAAACGGTCGATTCCCCGCTATTATAGCGATATCATATTGTACACGCGGCTATCGCGCGCTGTTCTCGTTATCAAGGAGATCTCTCGGGCTAGAAATTTGGGATTCTCGAAAGAATTCCCTTCGCACATTCTTGGAGCTTCAAGCTCCGCGGTACACTTTTGTCAAATGTATTTGGCGAAAATTCGGAAAAATGACAGAGTTCGAGCGCGCACGATATGAAGCATCTTACCGTGCTGCCCTTTCATCTTGCCCGTGTGCAGGTGCTTCTTCTGTCTCGCTCTCGAGTTCTGGAACCACACTTGCGTCACCCTCTTGCTCAGCCCGGTTACGTGCGCTATCCTCTCGAGGTCTTGACCGTCGGGATTACTGTCCAATTGGAAATTCGCTTGGAGAACCGAGAGCTGCTCCTCGGTGAAGGTGGTCCTGACCCTCTTCGCCTTGTTACCGCCCTTGTGCCCACTCTCGGAGTCACCGCCTTCTGCGAAAGTACCAATTAGCCGTGCCTCCACCTTTCCCCGCAATCTGTTCGCATCCATACGGATATACCCGCGTTATCGATAAGAAACTACAGTGGCAGCGCGAGACATTCTCACCATCGGACGAGGTGTTGTTGCCCTCGACGACATCGAGGTAATGCGCCTTGCAGAGCAGTCGCGCGTCCAGCAGCGCGAATTGCTCGCCGGTCGACAGCTGACGCGAGCAGGCGTCGCAAGCGAAGCAGGCCAAGTGATAAACCCTCTCCCGGGCCCTTCTCACCCAGTCGCCGGCGCCCACGCTGCGTCCGCATTTCGCGCATTTCGCGCCGAAAGTTCTGCAAGCGCCGAACGAACCACTTACTAAGGGTGGGATTCACTTGGAGCCACACAAACGCTTCGGGACGCCTAGAGAAAGACTATAGGCGGTGTCCGCTAGGGGCATTCTATCTACACAAGTGGCATCATCAATCTTCGTGTGTGTAAAAGAAAGCTTCGAAGCAACGTCAAGCTGTTCACACCTTATGATTGGTCTATACGACGGAGCATTCGCAGCGTCAAGTGGACCCCTGTCCTAGTGGCGAGTGTAAACGCAGCTATATCGATTGTACAGGCGGTAAGTATCGTGACGTTTCGGATTTACTTTGCGCCAAGTTATAGCCGCGCTCGATCAACGGCCACGGGGTGCAATGATAACCGTTCGAATATAATTCGCAGCCCGAGCGAGAGGCGGCCGAGAGAAGAGTGGTTCGAAAGAAGAGAAGGCAGAGAGAGAGAGATTCGTGTCGAGAAGCAAGTGGTCTTCAGTGGCGCGTGTTTCGCGGCCGTTTATTTCTTCGCTGCTCTCCCTCTCTTTCTCCTCCCTCTTTCTTTCTCCTTATCCCTGAACAGTCCTTCTCCCCGCTGCACGATTGCCTCGGGAAGGGCCCGCGAGGTATCGTCGTATACCTTCATGACTCAGTGTCTTCCACGTTTAATACCCCGTACGTGCTCGCCTGTAACTGCGGACTCTTGCGTTTTAATTAACCCCGAGATGCGAGGAGGATCATACAATACGCCCGTTGCATTAATTAGTTCGAATTATACGGCGGCCGAGGATCGGTGTATATCCACGGCGGAGAGAGAGAGAAAGAGTGGAGCGTCGCCTAATAAAGAGTATACGCTCGCGTGTAAATCCAGCGGGGATCGATTCTAATAATACCGCGCGCGCGTTTATGCAGTCGGCCGCGTCGTCGCTGTAAACGGTAGCCGTGTACCACGGCGAGCCTGCTGCACACGACACACGCACGCACTCACTCACGCACGCATCGGATGAATGGCCCGAAGAGGTTTGCACCTAGAACGCGGCGGCGACACGACGGAGCGGAGCAGCATCCTCGAGGAGGACGGTCGGTTGTTACCTCAGCTTGGCACAGCCGTGTCGCCGAATGTCGCGGCCGATAATTAAACAACGACTAGACGGCCATTAGCCCATTATCATATTCATGAACATGGAAAGTGCATCCGATCCGATACACCTCTCCCAGTTTCTCTCCGCGGCTGTGCTTGTGCGGATTGTGTTTGCCACCGGACATCGTGCGGATGTCTTATGGGTCGCCACGCGACTACCCCGGTGGTCAGCCACACCGAGTATCGCGCTCTCGGAATTTCTTTCAGCGGAATTTCCACTCGGAAAGTAGAGTAGACGGACAACTCGCTCGGGGTCGAGTGACTTTTCTCACTCTCAATGAATTCTCCCAACCCTCTGATCGTACAGTGGATATTTTCATTCGAAATTGACGTCTCGGTTCTGCACAGTGAACCCGTGCTTCGGGATAAAAATGCATATTAACAATTGCTATCGCAGCTAGATATCCTTTCGTGTCGACAAATTCAGGATCTGTACAATATCCGGGAAATTCTTCAGAGATTTCTATCTTAAGGAATTTCTCTCTATTCATCAAATAAATCTCCAATTCAAAATTTGTGTCCCGAGGCAGCGGAAACAAAAGCGAAAAAGTAAGCGGACGGATTGTCACAAGGACGACTTTGTGAAGATTGAGTTTCGATCCGACGATACACAACACCTTAATCCTATTGTGTTTTGAGAGAACGCTAATTCCGTTAAAGGTGAGGTTAAAGTCCTTGTCAGGCGCCCACGTCGGAAGCTAGAGAAGGATTTGAATCTCGAATGTCTCCCGTCCGCGGATTACGATGCATGTCGGTTCTCGGAGAAGATACCACAAAGAGTGTTACATGTCGAGAGAGAGGGACGCGGAAGCAATCTTACATGCGATACTCAGTCCCGGTAAATGTCGGTCTTATTTTTCGCCCTTTTTTTACGCTTCGTCCGTCCAGTTGCGCGAAGACTCACGCGGGACGGTTCTCTCTTTTTCTCGGAGCTCCATGTCGGCGATTGTCGACGAGTCCCCGCGGGTCGTGGATCCCGCCGACGACCGGGTCATCGTATGGCAGCATTACCAGGCAGAAAGCACGAATCAAAAAAATTACGCGGCGGATTCCTTCGGACCTCCCGCATACTGTTCCCGAGTACGCCCAAGTTAGCCGACTTTAAAAAGTAATTTCGCTCATGCAGCTCTTTAACGATAATCGATATTTTGCAATACTCAATTGAGCGAATTGCGTAAACGAGGTAAGACCGCGATTTGTGGTTTGCGCGAATACAAGATTGTAACGGTCGCGGGCTGATAACGGGTTTCCATCTGGAGAATGATAACGAGTCGATAACTTAATCGAATTCTTATGCTAATCCTCACTACCGCATTGAACCTTTCAAATTTATTAATCCAAACCGATTAGATTAATAACAACCGCGTCAATTTCTCGCCTTTCTTTAGAAATAAAGTTTGTTCAGTCCTCCACCGACAGTGACGTCCAAAGGAGAGAAAGAAGCATCTGTGAAAAACGTACGTATCTTCACGGAGAGTTTGCTTTTCCGCCAACAGCTCGCCGGAATACCTGCGTCGCAATTGCAATAATATGTAAGAGTCTAGAACATCAAACCTTCTGTGATGCCCGCTATCGCCAGACGCGTAGCGTCGTGTAACGATCGGATATCACGACGCCTGATTCAGGTTTGGTTGGCGTAAAACCCAGGTGACTGAGGTAACTGATTGACAGTTGGATAAACACATTGGGCAGACTTCGCCTGAAGCCTTCCGTACATTCGACGAGTCACCGCGGGTTCCATCGACTTTGATCTCCACGACCGTACGTCTTACATCGCTATCGATGCGCATCGCGCGCAACAAAAATATTCTACTTATTCATTCGATAATGCGAACAAAAAGAAAAGACTATATTTTCTTTCTGCTGCTCTCTCCTCTCCCCACCCCCTCCCTTTCTCTGCCGTTCTGTTGACGCGCACAACTCATCGATCTCGCTCGATCGTCGCGCGTGCAATTACAAAATAAGACGAGCGTTATTTTGTAGAAAAGTGCCAATCGACTTACAGGGCGTAGTCGTGCCTGCAGTAGAGCCGCATGCCTTTCAGGAAGCAGGAGTGCTGATCGTGCAACGGCCTGGCACAGGCGCAACACCTCAGGCACCTGGAGTGCCACGTACGTCCGCCCACGCACAGCACGATCCGTTCGCGTACGCGCTCTCCGCAACCACCGCACTCCATTACGCTGGGTGACGTTTCCGGGCCGACGACCAGGCCGCTGGTGCTTTCGGCGAGATTGGGACCGCCGTCGCACGCTCCGTCGCCGCTCGTGTCCTCCACTTCCGTCTGCGTAAACAAACAACAGATATTCAGATAGGTGGATGTATCGATAGACGGACAGATTGATAGATATGCAAGTTATCATTAGAGCGTCCGAAGTATCACGCACGCGTTACATCGTATTCTCGGAGTTTCTCGGGATTTTTCACCGAATACGAATTCATTCGAAGTGAAAATACTGCATTGAGAGAGATTCCACTTAAATCGTCAATTCCGACGGCCAACTTTTAAGAACTAAAAAGCAACTTGAAGGAAAACAATTACTAAGTTTCTACTGCCGTCTACGATCTTGCGAACTTTTGCAAGCACTTAATTCTATTAGCGGTGGAGTGAGATCAGATTCAATTTCGAACGGAAATATTTACTCGAAGATTCAAAACGGAAGGATTCGCTCTAAATAAGAAAAATTTTTGGAGCGACTCACTCTAACTTCCTGATGGAATCTCGTTCGAAAATATCTAGCGAATAATAAACGATCGACTTTATTTGCCCCGGCGGATTCTCTTGATCAATTCAAAGGAGCGCAAGTGTTAACGACAATGTCGCAAAATCCGAAGCGTCGCTTCGACGGCCGCTTTATCCGTCTCCCTTGTTCGCAGCTCATTTCATCAATGACGGCGGGGGGCTGCGATGCCGGCGTTAACATCCGAGAGGTTTACCGTAACGAGACCGGTAACATAATGACCGAGAGATTCGGCTGCGACTGGTTACTCGCACGGCCATTATACTTCCCATCGGCGAACCGTTCCCTCCCCTGTGGCACCCTGATTTGGGGGAATGCGTTGCTGCGGGATGTGTATGTGTGCGCGCGCTACGACGGATACGCGGGGTGATCGCGCGTACAAGCGGCGTGAGAGGTGCCGAGGCGAGAACACGCGTTTACACGCGGTGTGTGTACCGGCACCTTCTCGGCGACACGACGTAACACCGACAGGGACACATGTGTCACCATATTGAAAAGGAACGGCCGCGTATCGTTCGTCCGCATGGGAAGAGAGAGAGAGAGAGAAAGAACTCGCAGTGTCGCCGTTGGTTGTATCGTCGTGGTTACGTTCGTTCACGGTGGGGTGCCTTTGCGCTTGACCAGCTGCCTACCGGATCGCGACTCTGCAACTGGATACTGGCGCGTTCGGTAAATCGCGGAAGCGAGTCTGGAGCGTCCCGAGAGACAGAGAACGAGAGAGAGAGAGAGAGAGAGAGAAACCCGGCTGAGATATCAGAGTGAGATATGAGCGATGAGGAGTAAAGGCACGCTATCGACGTCTCGCGATACCACTCGAGAGACAGTTCTATATCGCGAGTCGCGATTTTCACGATGTAATCGCTCCAACTATTTGTTGCGGCAACATTGCAAATCCGATTAGTGCGCTCCCCGCAGCTCCCTCGCGAAGATACGTGTCGCGTAAGTGAAAGCGAGACGCAGTATCGATGATGCTCTCGTGTATTTGAGCGTTTTATATATACGAGTCCTGACGCGCGTAATTTATATTCATACACAAGCGCAGCTCTTCTCTCTCTCTCTCTTTCTTCCTCGCGCACCGCCGAACGCGCTCTCGCCGCGCGTTCGCATTTTGCAGGATAGCACGCGCGTATTAGCGTTTATCCGCGCTTACGTACGCGCAGCCGCGGCCGAGAGTCATAGGTGACAATAATAACTCGGAGTCGCGCGTAAAACGGCGTCGTAAAACGCGGGATTAGACTTCTTTCGGATGACCGTCGTCTAAATGTATATACCTTCGACTATGAAAGAGCTCGTCGCACGCGCGCAAAAACGGCTTTGCAGCGACGCGAACGAAAGTGAACCGCGGCGCCGAGATCACAGCCGAGAGTTCGGCTAGATTTGCATAATTAGAGGCTGTCAGCTTTGGGACTCATAATTTACAACACCATCCTTAGACCGATGTGTAACTATGTTTACGTACATGGATATCCAAAATCGCGCGATTATATCAGTAGTCATCGAATGTTTTTTTTATTTTTTCAATATTTTATCTCTCGATGCAAAATTGATCGGCTCGAATATTTCGCGCACGACAGTTGAGACACGACTTGATTGTACGACCATTGTGTATCTGCGAGTGGAAAATCAGCGGAAAATGTTAAGAACAATCGAACGCCCACTTTCTGCCGAAATAGCGGGCATAATTGGCGCGTTAACGTGCGACAGGGTTGCTACACGGCAGTTCATCCCTCGTAATCCGATTTGAAGATTGATCCGCTCTGGTATACTTTTACAACGTTATTGGCGTTCTCACTGGAGGGAGGATCTCGAGTACATTTTGGATGACAGTGGGCTCTATCCCATGTGTGAACTTGTATGTCGCGCTGTTCAATTGAATTCGTGCACGCCTCTGTTTAAAATGGCCGTGAGTCCCATTCGTGGCACTCGAGTGGTTTGGATTTCGATTTCGGTCCCTTTTCGGCCAACAGACACACTGCCACCAGGGGTATGACTTTCAAAGCTGAAAGCCTGTCGACGGGGGGGCCTTATAGGGGCTCCGCTGGAGGGTTTCCGACGCCTTCATCGGCCTTCACGAGTCTGTGTCACTTTCGGTTTAGAATACGGTGTGTCCATTGAAATCGATATTTCTTTCCACGGCGAAACCATTCTCGCGCAGTGGGTTCGTCATAATAATCATAAAACGATCTAGCGCCGTAAAACCGCGACTAACCGACGCTCTCGGTCGCCTTTCTTTCTGTTATCCAACGATATAAAGTTACCGGGCGGCAAAAAGGAATGGGCTTCTGCCACGATATCGCTCTCCTAACTGTATTCGACTCGCATTGTGCAGGTATAACAGTGATTATAATTACTTCCGAACTCATGAATATTAAATAACAGCGGAAACCAGCTCGAAATGGAAACGCAATACGGAAAAGATTCGCGATCGAACGTTGTAATCTTCGTTTCATGACGCGATACAACTTGATTGTATTCGGAATTACAGACCTCTCTCTCTCTCTCTCTCTCTTCTATCTTTATCTATCTCCCTTTCTCTCTCGCAAGCGCAATCTCGACGCACGGAACGCAAATTCGTTTTCAGTCGCTAATGAACACGACCGTTAATTAGAAACGAACACTTTGTAGTAGACTGCCTCTGGATGCGAGGACGGCGTTACTATCTAACAGAATTTGTCCGCACACACGGCTTCTCGTTAGAGGAATTTATTAGAGAGGCATAGCGCGTGTGCACGACGTGAGCACCGAGAATTATGGACGCCAAATATTCGCGTCGACGACCGTCGTACCTCCAATTTCTACGAGCGTATCGACCCGCTGCCAAAGTGACCGTGGTTCTTCTCGTTTCTCTTCATTTTTCTTCTTCCCTTATTTTTTCCTATTTTTTCTCGGTTTTTTGTCAAATACGCAATAATTGCTCGTTTGTCCCATCTTCGCCGTCGATTAAAACGATCGAAACGAACAAATAAAAATTTACACGCCAAGGATCGCCACACAAGATAGAAACAACATCGCAAGATGAAACGGATTTCGATTCATCGTTTCTTCTTCCAAAGGACAAGAACCTTCGGTTGTTTTCTCCTTCTCCCGTTAAGTCGAAACCCGAGAAAAATTTGACAAAATGGCCGGCACGACCAAACGGCCGAGAATAATCCCGGTTTTAGTGCGCAACCCCGACTACACGACTTTTCCGAAACAGCGGCGGCGAGACGAGCGAGAGAGGGATAGAGCGGGACAGAGAAAGAGGGAGAAAGGAAGAGAAAGAGGAGCACGAGCCTCTTCACGCCTTCATAAAAAAGGAGCTATCGCGTGGAAACGGATCGTTTCTTGTATGCCAAGCAGGTACAATGGACAGCGAACTATTCGAGGCGACACGGTCCCTACCCCAGACCACTCGAAACCCATTTAAATCGCCATCCGATTTCTGGTTTCGCACGCCACATTGTCGCCACCGTCCCGCTCGCCGTCGCCGGTCCCGCTTTCGGCATTGTGCGCCGTGCGGCATGCGGCCGGGAAAAGGGATTCGTCTCACGATCACTTGGAATCGTTTATTAACCGCGTGACCGGAGAGCCTCGTGATGACCGATGAGTAGCCGAGAAAGAAAGAGAGAGAGGAGAGCCATCGAATGAACCGTGACAATGGCGCTCACTCAATGCCCAGTGGCTCGCGTTCTGCCCACGCGCGCGCCTCTCTCTCGACATCTCGCGTGCGTGACGATCGCTCGTGCGTGCACCCTCCACCGCGGGGATAATGCGCTACTCGAAATTAGCTACATTTTCGAGCTGCGATTTTCGTACGTCACGCCTACCTTGCCCCTCGCCCACGTCGTCATCTTGTCGCCCGTTTCTGAATTTTCTAATCAAGTCATAAGCTGTGGAATTCCACTCTTGAAAAATCAAAGTGACAGGAGGGACACTCGAGCGATTTTTCAAGTCGATACTGAAGCGTCAAGTAAATCAGTAATGCGAAGAAAGAAACGTCAAGTTTCTTAAGATTACTTAAACGGAATTATCGAATTTCTTCGGTAAAATAAGAAAATTAAGGGACCATTTTTCTCTTTAGACCGGGCAAAATTATTTTAAATCCCCAAATAATCATATTTGTTACATTAGAAATTGATTTGTATGGATTGTCCCAATCGATAAAACTCTCTGTGTGAACATGTTATTAATAGCCGTCGAATAAATCTCTGTGTGAACATGTTATTAATAGCCATCAAAGAAAAATATCTTCTAGGTACTTTTTCTTTCAATGTAAATTAATGACTCTACCAGTTAAAAAAATCACGCGTCGACATCCACACACGCATCGGGTCTCCTTGGCCCTTCATTTTTATCGGCTGAATACCCAAGAGCTTCATAAATCTTTACTGTTGTTAGATCAATGAGTTCAAGAGAATCGGTTTGGCGATGGGGGTCCCCTCTTACATGATCCTACAAAGCATATTTTGCCTGCTCAATGTCGAATATTGTTATCCTCTCGATAATAAATATTGAATCGTGTGGTGTGATACAATAGAAGTTAAAATTACATGAAATTGTTAAACGCGAGTATACAAACAGAAGAACTGTTTTCAAACCGCCGCGACGACTAGCACGCGATCGAAACGCCACGTGTTTTCGCGTCACGCTTGGATTATCACGTTATCACGTTATCCACGGAGTCGCTGTCAAAAGTACAAACAATGTAAACGATTTATCGCCGCCGGATCAAGCCACATGTCGCGGCGCAGCACGTTCGGCGTATATTCGAAGAACGTAAAACAACGTTTAACCCTGGCAAAGTTCCGTAAACCGTACATCGCTTCTTATCACACGAGAAGCGAAATTCGCACACCGCACACACACGCGTGTGTATGCACTTTCCACGATAGAAAAATACAGCTTTGTACAAAGTTAAGCGACAGTTATTGTTCGCAGGGTATAACGGGAATGCTGAATTATATCGCATATAACTCGCGCACCGAACGATAAATTCACGCTAAGCGAGGCGTGTCTCGCGATTCGCGTCTCTCGCGCTTCCCTCGCTTCGTCTTTGCTCCGTTGTGTCTCGCTTCGTTTCTTACTCATTGCTCGCGTTGCTCCGCCGCTCGTCGACCGACACACGGAGCCTGAGGAAGAAGAAGAAGGGAAAGAGAAGTGAAGATAGAAAGTGAAAGAGTAGAAAGAGGGAGAGAGAGAGAGAGAGAGATACTCTCCCCACAAAAAAATGAAATCCATATAACTCCGGATAAGGCTGATGCGGCATTTTGCGCGCTTTACGCCGACAATTTACTGGACCACACGCGCGCGCGAACGAGCAAGCCGCGTGCGGACGTACGATTTCCTGAGAGGTCGCCTTTTCGCGCAACAATTCACGCACCCCTCGCGCCGTGTGGGACGACGACTGTCTCCGCGATGTGATCTTACGCGAATTTACAATTTCGCTCGTGCGTAGGCACGCTTCACGCGCGCCCACCTACGCGACCGGATGCGTAATTCATCCGCGTGCGTGTTCTCGTGTGCGAGGAACGGTCGGCCACGCGATTCGTTCGAGCCGGTTATCATGTTTCCGGCATTTTCGCGCGACATTCGTCGGCGAGTTTTCACGAGCGGACTGTTTGAAAAGAAAGAGGAAACTGTAAGTTCCTGCAAGCGCCCACTCGAGCTCGATCGATCTCTGGGCGCACGTGCGTGCGTACGTACGTACCTTCATGATAGCTCCGAGCGCCCGACGAGAAAAGGATGCCCCGACGTTCGCTCTCGCGTGCTCGACGAGCCCTTCACCGCTGGCTTTCCTGCGACATTGCGACGTGCGTTCCAGCTGCGTGCGAGTATCACCGGCGATTATCAAACGCCATACGCGACGGCGGCGACGCGCGAGAGGCGCATCATGGGCGCACTATGAGGAAGCGAGAATCCGCCCGGCCCCGTGTAATATAACGTAACTCCCGGTCTCTCTCTTCGCCGGGGTTGCGCTACCGACCGACCGCTCGACCGATACCCGACTCGGGGGCCGACAGCGGGGCGATCGTAAACCCCCGCTGCTCGTCCGCCGAATGGGCGGTATGGGCGTGATGAGCGGGCTGTGGCTGCCCCACGTAGACGACGGTCTGCGATTCGTCCAGCCTCGTCCGGCCCATCGCCGGGGAGTGGGTGCGAAGCGGGGAGACGAAGGTGGCGGTGCCACGCGGTCGCAATTCGCACGCGCACGTGTCCCCACTTGACGGACCCGAATCGTCCGCGCGGATGTGTAATAGGGCAACACGCGTCGCGTCGCGTCGCGCTGATTGGCCGCGATCTTGTCTTGATCCACGGAAGAGAGCTGTCCCTCTCGCGCGCGTCGTCTAGCTGGAAAGTTGCGGAGAGAGAGAAGGGAGGGAGGATGAGTGAGGAGAGCGACGTAAACCTACGCCATCGGGGAGAGCGCGAGGGAGGGACGACGAGGGACAGTTGCTCCATACCGATGTACGCGGTAGTTTGCAAAAAAAAATGATATATAACGCGCAACCTGATTCGATACGCCGTTATTAATTCGCGTATATGAGATATTTCTTCTCGTTTCCGCGATATTGATTCGTCCCTCTCTCTCCCCCTCCCTCCTTCCCTTTCTCTCACTAGTGATGTACAAGAGACAGGTCAAAGTATCGCGCGATATCGGCAGCCTCTTTCTCACACATTCTTATCGAAACGGCGGCGCGTCGTTATTGGTAGGCGAGAGCGACGTGTGTTCCAAAATCTACAAACCGGGGCGGGTGGAGGAGACGCGCTCCTCGGTGTGTGCGGAGAAGAACGCTGATATGAAAAATGGTCGGCACTCCCGCGCGCGCCGTTGTGTGTGCGCGCGTCCGTACGCCACGGACATAATAAATAACAATACGAGTCTGCCTACGGATACGGGATCTGCATATAGGTCCTGGCCTTATACCTGAACTGCCGCGGCGCGTCATTAAAATTATTTATGAGGAAATAAGAATCCGAAGCGGGGCCCCGAGTCCCGGCCCCGAGGTTCGCGCGGATATCCCTCGCACCCTACGCGCGCGCGAGCTTATCCCCGATCCTCTTTAGTCGGCTAACGTCCGGCTCGTCGTTGGTAGATTAGTAGATTAAACTCGGACGGTTCTCCCGTTCCCGCTCGTGTGCGAATCGCGCACGTGGAGCGGTGCACTATCGATCGCGAGCCTACTGTCTGGTAACTGTAACGTCATCGCCGGACTGTTTAATGTCTGCAGCATCGATTTTAACGTATTATCGATCGCTTTGCTATTTTCCCTTTTTATCTCTCCCTCTCTCGTTTGAAGGTGAAAAATGTCTCAGATTGAATTAGTTTGAAGGGAGATATTTCACCGATAATCAGTGAGTATTCACCGATTGTGAGTATAAACACTCGCACTTTTCCGTCTCGTATCTCGTCGATTTTGACCAGTGGGAATAAAATTTCACTGCAAAATTTGTAACGCACAAATTCGTTGTATCGAGTCCGACTTGATGCGTTTGCGGCGAGGGAATTAACGCCTTTTATGCGCCTTGCGGGTGTGCTGACATAGCATTTTATATCTGTGTTTTGCTAACTGTATCCAATAATGGAAACAGTCGTTGCTATTTACTGATCTTCTTCAGCAACATTTTACTAATTGCAGTGCCACATTTGTAATTGAATCACCAGCTTCAAATATAACATTTTGCAATGAAAATAGATTGATTTTACTTTAGGAAGCAGATCCATCCTTTCCACGATGGATCGATCGAACGATCAGCTTGGTTTCTCGATATTTGTGGACAGACATGATCAGCCCTTTCCTTTCCGATTTCATGAAAAAAATACTCCAAATTACACAGTTATACACATAGAAATTTAAATTAACGCATAGTTCGCAAAAGAAGGACACTCAAACCCCAACGAAGCGCAACTCGCGCGTGATTAACAATGTGTTAATATCGTCGTCCATAAAAAAGTGCAAAGAAATGTTAAATCTGTCGAGAAAATGGCGAAATTGTTCGCTTCAAGATGTCTAATAAGCTTCGAAAAATTCCCATTACTCTCATCTGATTGTTTCATCTAGTCACCCCCTACAAGCGCGCGCGCGCGCACACGAGAGAGAGAGTAACTCAATTAGCTACGCGCGTCTGTTTATTTACATAATCGGCCCGTGGGGCATTTAACGTATTGATCACGTAATTATCGGGACGAGCCCATATAGACCGGAGGCACGAAGCTCGTTTCGGCTTGCGCTCACGCGAGAGAGGATGAAGAGGTAACGCCGTAGGAGGTGAGAAATAAAAATAAGAAGCCCGGAGAATTCTCAGCTGGGGGTCATTCCTGACGGAAGATTTTCGTTCGTCGGGGTTTCGACGATCGACCACCTGGCCACATAGTTACACCTTGTAAACGGTCACTGTCTACCGGGCCGGCAATAAACGCGACCGACGCGACCGAGAGCCGACTCGTGCTCGGCGCACTCGCACTACACGGAAAGGTATTCAACTGAGATTAATCGCCGTAGATTTGTCACGGACATCGTTGCGGCCGCGCTTATCTTCTTTTCCCTTTCTTTTCTCCCCTCTCTCTCTCTCTCTTTTTTTCGCTCAAACTCTCGAAGCACGAAGTGGAATGGTGTTCCGAGTGATCGCGTCGACAGCCATCGGGTCGAAGACAATTTCCAGGTGATAATTAATCTTACTCCGTTGCAATTCCACTTATCGATCCCGTCACGGATCGCGGCGGTTTAACGAGCTCGTATTTGGATAGTCACCTCAATTGAGGCGATGTCTCCTAAGTCGTAGTAGTGGTGAGCGATTCAGGAACGAACCAATGGTACCGACGGCGATCCCGACCGGCCTTCCTCGCTGCGACAATTAGTCTCGAGTGCGCGATGATTTCGAGAAGACGCGGCGTTTACGCGCCTCTTATGAGTGTCGGGTCTTCATTTGTCCATGAACGCGGCGCAATTAGTATCCCGCTGATTCTCGAGGAGCGGACTTCCTCCCGCGAGCGGAATCTCGAGTGCGCGCTCTCGTCGCCTCCCTCTCTCATCTCCCTGGCCATTGTCCGTCGAATCGCGACCGTACTACTGCGTCCATCGATCGAGCCGCTGACACGAGGTGCCAAGTGACACGAGAGCAGCGATCTTCGCGCGCGAACCGTCGAGTGGACGTAAAACTGGCACCGACGTTATTAATGCCCCCTCGATACCATAGAGCTAACGATTATTTACTTCGAAATATTTATCCCGTATCTCTCCGTGCGCGGCCATTATCGTGGCCGGCATGATAAATGCGTCCCGTGAAAAATCGATTATATTGTCGATACATATATGTACATATACATATGTACATATGAACGCGAGGCGTTCTCGCGAGCATTCTCGTACACACACTCTTTCTCTCTCGCGCGCATCGATCGGCATACTCTCGCGGTTAGCTCGCGAGAGCGCCAACGTATGTAACGTTTCGACACAAGTCCATCGGCGGCGGGCGATGGACCATGGGTGATGGATACGCCTACTCTTGATATTTCGGTGATCAATAACGCGCCTCTCGGTGCCGTTCGCGCCGAAGGAGGATCCATTATTCACCCGTGCGCGGTCGCCGCTGAATAAATAATTTACCTCGTCATACCAGTGCCATCAGAAGACCGACTTCGCAGCGGCGCGGCGCGCCGCGCTCTCGACCGCTCTCCCCGGCCCTTTCCCGGCCCTTTGTGTTACCGATAATAAAGGTATGCGCGCGATTCGGTCTCTTCTGGGTACATCATCGAAAACGATACGCGTGTAGACGCGAGTAAGAACCCCACCCCTCCCCTCCCTCTCTCTTCATGTTCGATGGCTTGATGTGGAGGGCTGCCGCGACTTTGAATGGCACGGTCGATTTATCTCCTTTACGCGAGACCGGACCATCAACGCAATCGGAACTCTGCTCGTACGTGTGCGTAGACGGCGCGCGGTATCTTGCGGGCCCGTGTGCGTGAATGCGTCGTTTGGTACGCGCGCATGCCTACGGACGAAAGCTGGCCGCGGTCACTATTTGGAAGCATGATCGGTAGTTTCGATTCAGTCCGGGGCCCGATACATTATTATCTCCGACGACGATAATTAGCGCCTACTTAGCGGCTTGCATGCGAGCCGCTTTTGTATATCTCGAGTATCGTCCCAATCGGTACTTCTTTCTCCCTCTCTATCTCTCTGTCTCTCTCTCTCTCTCTCTTTCTCTCTCTACCTACAAGCATCGTCGTTCCGACGAAATTCCGAAGCGTCGTCAAACTCATAGAGTTTCTGCTAAAAGCATCTGAGAATACTCTCAATTTTTTATACATCGAGCGTTAGCTTGTTTTTTTTTTAAGAAAAGAAACCGAGCGAATTAAATTTCGCAAAATGACGGCGGTCATGATCGTTGTCTCGGCATTTACTTGGAATTAATCGGACAGCTCGGCGTCTCGATCGACGACAGAACCAACTCGAGCGTGCGCTATTATCCCGCAGGATCGGTGCGTACACACATCCGCGGAGATCTATAAAACTTAAACAGCCATAAAACAGTCTCCGAGGTGGCCTTGTCATGATCCTAGATTTACGCGTATTAAAAGGGAATTACAATATTAATAAGGCCTTTTTAATGGGCCAGCGGCCTTCATGTCGGAACCGTCCGCCCTCGGCTAGATCCTTTCCTTCCTTTGAAACTCGTTACGATTTCGGCCGGCTCCTACGCCGACCGGGAGAGGACGAGGCAGCCGTAAATATCGACGAAAATATCGTTTATCGTTATTCACACGCGTTATTACTTCGCCGGCGATATATCATTCCGCTCGTGTCCACACTTGGGAAAATCATTCCGATCAGTCCTTTTTTCTTCTTCTCTTTCTCCTTCTGTCCTCGTTTCTCATAATGTGAGCGGAAATCGCTGGACTAATACGTCATACTCTTCTTTTAATAATTCAAGCGTAATTAATGTCAATAATACCCTCCTTTTGAATAAAA